CTCGACGAGCCGAGTATGACTCTAAACGTCGGTGCTTTCTGTAATGGTGTGGGTATGCGTATCTGCCGCATAAGAAACATGAAGATTATGGAATTAACCACATGCGTAAAGGAGAAGTATTAGATTTACGTATATTCTAGATTGTTTAATAAATGTATTAAACAATTAATAAGGTTAATGATGGGCAAATGCATGGATTATAGGGCAAGAAAATAAAGTACTAATTTTTCGTTGTTTCAACCGTGATTCAGTAGTACATGTTGTTTTTTCAGGTGCGACCGCAAATGAAAGCTCACCGTCGGTAATCGCTGTGCTGATTTCAACGGTCAACGAAATGCAGGCCCATTTCAACACGCGCTTTGACGTGCTGGAACGACACTTGGCCAGCATCGACCGCCAGATTACTGCTCTTCAGAAGTTGCAGAAAGTCGCCGGAGGCGGCGGTGGTGCTGCCGCTGTTACACCCAGGAAACGAAATCGTACGTCGTCCCCCGCTGCGGAAGTGGAGCATAAATATTTCGCTTCCGAAGGACCGTATACCGGCGTAGGCGGCGTCGGCATGCCGCTAGTACAACAGAACATGCATAATGTCGAAAACAATGTACAAAGCGAAAATGTCGTGATATCCGTGGTCTCTGCGTGCTCAAGTAAAACGCTTTCCGAATTTATGAAAAGTGCCCATGCAAACAACTATCCTTCGCTCGAAGGTCAGTGTGTTGTTCTCGATACGGGTTACGTATTGTCAACGGTAGTCGATGACCATGGCAATCGATACGACTGGAAGTTTCCGTCATCGCTTGTTGAAAAGCTGATCCGCGACAATCCTCCAGAATCAACGGGTTGGTCGGCTAGTCGAGCACTGGTTTCCTTGTTAGACTATGTCTACCATCCGTTGGAGCTGGCCATGCGGCGGCTGCCCCCACTGCCAACAGCCAGTCCATTGGCTCTCAACCTTCAAGGGCGACAAAAGTCTGATTTGTTCGCCGGTACACTGTACGAGGATGGTATCGAGTTTTCGCCCGAGCGCATGCTTCCATGCTGCAAACTTGTCGAGCATTACTATCCCGGTTGGAAGTACAAGGCGTTCGAGCGCAACCACGCGTTCCGGGAAATGGTACATAAGAAGTGTCGAATGAGACGGCGCGATCTGCGGCAGTACATGCAGCAATGTGGCAAAACCAAGGAGCATGTTTTGGAGTGCATCATCAAAGGAGTTGACCTGCCACCCCGACAGTTCCTTTTCAAGTGAATTGAATAACCAGCCAGGCTATACTTATTGGAACGCCGCGCTTCATTCGCAGCACTTGCACCTGCGTTTTGGCATCCAGTGAATCCAAATGTTCATTATGTTAGTGATGTATTGTTATTTAGTAGTTCGAGCTGTTGCCTAAAACTGGTGTCGCTGTTTCGTTTATAAACTGTACATTCATTTTCTAGTTTTAATAAATATTTGCTGTGACATTTGTAATTCTTTCACCTGCTTCTGTACTTAACACGATGCTATAACAACTGTTCCGCTTGAATAGAGTTTTAATTTAATCCATCAGGAATGACTAAAGTCATGATATAGCCTTTATAAGTTCTGGCTTGGTTGGCCATAATGCGATACCAAATTTAATAGTAAGGTCGTATTAAACGAGTGTTTGCCGATAATAGTTTTTCGCATCCAAAGAAAACATTTGCAACCTCCTTATTTCGTTTCAGCTAGCTGTCTGTTGCCCAGCCGTTGATCCATCTTCCTAACAAAGGTTAATGCGGAATTAAGTTACACTTATTTTTGTAATGCCATGATGGTCGCTGAGAAAACATTTTGAGGTACATACTTTTTAATCGTATGCGTAACCGTTTAGACTCATGTTTAAAAACTGTTATTCATTATGAACTATTGAACATTTAAAAAACATTGAAAAACAGAATAAGCACGGTTTAATGATATACAACACAGAGTTTACCGCGTAATAGCTTACTACTGCTGTGTCAGCCGTATTCAAAAATTGTCTCATCCCTGATGAACATCAGAGAGGCGGAACCTGGAAATGAGAGTTGTTCTGTCATCCGATCAGTGGGTAGTTATCCATTACTATTAAATATATTTAGGCTGCTTTTTGGTGGCGGTCAGTAGTTGATTTGCTGTGTATCGAAAAATTTTGAATTGCCTGTTATAAACTTGGTAATTTTATTGAAATAATAGACAATTGTTCTTTATGTTTATCGACACGTCAGTAATCCGTTTTTATACAATCATTATCATCAGCATTTTTCGATCCATCGCTGAATGAAGGCCTCTACAAAACTACCATTAACTGTTATTCTTTCAGAAGCAAGTTTCATATCTCTCTGGTCCAGTGATTGTCGTTTCTTCTTGTAACGTTTACAGCCCATTGTTACTTTAACTTATGCACTTTGGCAGTGACATCGCAGACCAACGTTTGTCATAATCATGCCCATATCATCGTCTTCCTACTTTTTCTTGTTATTCCCAGCATGCATCTCTTAATGCTGTGGTGCGTAGTCTACAGTATATGAACAGCTTTCATGCTTTGAGTCTACACTGGCAACACATCTTGGTCGAAAACTCCGGTTAAGCATAAGGTCAGCTTCAGGATAAGTTATCAGATATTACACACGATTAATTAGCGTCCTTCAGATAATTATTTAACATTTAAATTGTAAAAATTGAAATGATTTTTGAAAAATTTCATATCTACTGCTAAGCAGGTATGAATCTAATACACATGAGAAGTTTATCCTTGATAGATTGTTGTCCCTGGCATTTTTCACGTTTTTTTTACGTCATTCATTCGTTCTTTTCGGTGGTTAGCTTTCGAAAAACAGTGGCCTCAAAATTACTTAATTGTAAAACATATTATTTATTACAGGCTTAAAGAGTAAGTGCCCCCCAGGCTGGTGGGGCACTGAGGCAGACAACGAACAGTCGGCGATCAGAACCTGCACATTGCCCTCTGCCAGCCGGGGGCGTG